ATTATGTGACCTCCTAGCTAAAGATGCCCCATTTGAGTGGACACAAGCTTGTCAAGAGGCCTTTAAAACGCTAATTGACAAGCTTACCTCAGCACCCATAATGCAGCTACCTGATTGAACTTTACCTTTTTAGATCATGTGTGATGCTAGTGATTTTATTGTGGGTGCTGTTCTTGGACAGCGAAGAGAGGGGAAGCCTTCTGTCATTTACTATGCTAGTAGAACTCTAAATAGTGCTCAGATGAATTACTCCACCATGGAAAAAGAGTTACTAGCTATAGTGTTTGCTTTGGATAAGTTTTGTGCTTATTTAATTGGTTCTCCTATTATTATTTTCACAGATCATGCAGCCCTTAAGTACCTTCTTACAAAGAAAAATGCTAAGGCACGACTAATACGGTGGATTTTACTTTTGCAAGAATTTGACATCACCATCAAAGACAAGAAAGGAGTGGAGAACGTAGTGGCTGACCATCTCTCGAGGCTCACATTTGAGGATACCTCTGACCATCTACCAATCAAGGATGATTTTCCCGATGAACATTTACTTTATGTTACTTCTCTACCATGGTTTGCTCATATTTTGAATTATTTGGCTGCAGGTGAGATACCGTTGGATTGGAGCGCTCAGGACAAGAGGAAGTTCATGACTGATATACGAAATTTTTATTGGGATGACCTTTTTCTTTTCAAATATTGTCCTGATCAAATTTTAAGGCGTTGCATCCCTAATGAGGAGATTGTCAGCGTCTTGGAATTTTGTCACTCCCAAGCTTGTGGGGGCCACTTTTCAATGAAGAAAACTGCTGTAAAAATTCTGCAGTGTGAATTTTATTGGCCCACCTTGTTTAAGGATGCAAACATCTATTGTCGCTCATGTGAAAAGTGTCAAAAATTAGGAGTTATGTCCCGTCGTAATATGATGCCCTTAAACCTAATTTTAGTGATTGAAATTTTTGATTATTGGGGCATTGATTTTATGGGACCATTTCCTCCTTCTTTTGGATATCAATATATTATTGTGGCAATAATTATGTGTCAAAATGGGTAGAGGCAGCATCTTGCAAGAGCAATGATAATAAGACGGTAATTAAATTTTTCAAAGAGAATGTGTTATCTCGATTTGGTATATCACGTGCTATCATTAGTGACCGAGGTACTCATTTTTGCAACTGTTCTTTTGAGGCTTTAATGAAAAAATATGGGGTGGTACATAAGATCTCTACTGCCTACCACCCTCAGACGAGTGGACAGGTAGAACTTGCAAACAGGGAAATTAAACAAATTTTAGAAAAAACGGTAAACCCGGATCGCAAGGATTGGTCTTTGAGACTAGTTGATGCGCTTTAGGCCTACCGTATAGCTTTCAAAACTACCTTAGGCATGTCACCTTATAGGCTTATTTTTGGAAAGCCTTGTCACTTACCTGTGGAGCTCGAACATCGAGCCTATTGGGTCATCAAGCATTTCAATTTTAACATGGGAGAAGCAGGTAAACTTAGAAAATTTCAGCTGACCGAATTAGAGGAGTTGAGAAAATGATGCTTATGAGAACTCTAAAATCTATAAGGCTAACATGAAAGCATTTCATGATAAAATTATTTTGAGAAAAACGTTTAAGCCTAATGATCGAGTGTTTTTATATGATTCTAGACTCCATAAGCACCCTGAAAAACTTAGGTCTAGGTGGACCGGCCCTTTTATAGTAAAGAATGTTTTTGCACATGGGGCGGTGGAAATAGAGAATCCTAAGGATGGTCAAATCTTTAAAATAAATGGTCAACGACTTAAAATATTAATTGATAGGCAAGTTCCAGAAGTAGAAGATATTCCACTTGAGGATCCGGTCTATCAACCTTGACCACACCACGCAGGTATGTTTTTCTTTATTTGTTTTGTTTGTTTTATTTTATTTTATTTTATTTTATTTTTTCCTTTTAGCTTGCTGTTGTTTTCTTTGTTTTTATTAGCAGGTTAGTTTCATTTTGACATGTCAGGTTACTATCTTTGGTGCTTAACGAACTACTCACATCACTCATCAGGTGTATTCTACCCTTTTTAGTTACTCCTCATTCAAATTTGATTCTTAAACATTGAGGACAATGTTTCATTTAAGTTGGGGGGTGGATGGTGGTGCAAATTCAATATTTAAAATTCTTGTTGTTACTCTGTGGCATATTTTCATGTGTGAAATATTTTTAATTCACACGTGCATTATTTTCACATGTGTACTTATTCTCATTCATAGCTATCTTTGTGAATTCTCCAAAACCATCATAATCAAATTTTTTTTCTGAAGCATTCACAGAACCTCTAATGCACTCATTCAAGCTTTGTGGTAAGATGGTGGTTTGACACATGTAGCTAGAGAGCTCTTTTGCTTAAGTATTCATATGAGTTTTGGAGAGGATTGAGAGCCTACAACTACAATAAATTGTGATAAGCGTTCATTGATCTGTTGAATTGGGTATTTCTTTTGAGAATATCATTACATGGTTTGTGGTAAGATGGTGGATATACTTGGGATATGACAAAGGTCAACTTAGGATCAACGTTTGAGCCTTTCAAGCTAACCCTTTCCACATTAAACCCCTAGTAGCCAACTTTGAGCCAATAAACACATGTAGCCTTTTCTTTTCATATGCCTACATTATCCATACCTCTCCACATTGGAGTATAACCTATACACTGATTTTTTTCTACCCTTGTTACTTCCAAGTGTGTATTAGATGTGGAAGTCTTCTTTTTTTTAAAAAAAAAGGAGACAGAGAGAGAAAAGGGAAGAACATGAGTTACAAGGTGTTCAAGTGAGTGAGTTTAAAAAAAAAAAAAAAAAGCCAAGGCTGGGTAGAAATAGCAAAATGCCAGGGTGACATAATTGTTCACCAACTTGCTTCAAAAAAAAAAAAGAGGCATTATTCGATGACTTGAAAGGTTGAAGAGTACATCAAGTGAGAAATATAGTTTATTGAGAGATTTAACAAGATTCTCTCTGTATGTACTTGGAAGTTTTTGAATCCTTTCCATTTTTTTATATAGCTTCAAAACCTAAGCCACATTACAACCTTTTGTGTTGACCGTTCTGATCTTAAGTAAGATTTTGGGAAAGCATGGTGGAAGTCTCATTTGTTAGTATTCCTATCATAAGATCAATATTTGTTTGTTGCTTGTACAAAATTGCCTAATTCCCCAAGAGAGTGTGTGCACACCCATTGTCAACTCCATAGAGAGAATCTCAACACGAAACACTTTTATACCTGTGAGTTATGGAGTTGAACCTTTTGCTTGAGATGTTCTTGATGTTGCATGTGTCAGGGTTTCTAGTTAGATGGATATAGTTTGGAACACACACACACTCTGTGGATTGCTTCAGGTGGATTGCTTGTGATGGGGTTATTGAATTCGTAAGATTGTTTTGATATGTGAATCTGAAAAGTGTGACTTGGTAGCCTTTGTGTGTGATATTCTTTAGTTTCTTTCATTGTTTCAGCATGAAAATTTGCTAGGGACTAGCAATGAGTAAGCTGAGGGTGTGATAAGTGCGCGAAAATGCATTTTAAATACCTTATTATTGGATTAAATTACTGAAATATGAATATAAATAATTAGATATAATTTATATTATTGAATTTAATATCTATTCACACTGAGATATAATTGAGCATGATTTTATAACATTTTAAATCTTAAATATTGCATTATTGGTTAGTGAGAAATAATTTACAATTGGGCTTTACGTTTAATATTTTTGGAACTTTATTATTGGGCTTTTATATTTATTTTTTCTTGATGGCAGTTCATGGAATAAAAAGACTGAAATTGATGTTGCTGTCACGTGGGCCCGGCACTTATAATTTTTATTGGACTTTATCTTCTTCAAATTACACAAAAGTTGGGCTTTGGGGGCTGAAACAGAGAAGCTAGAATAAAGAGGGACTAAAGTGAAAAGGGCTAGAAAAAGAAAGGAAGGAAATGTAATTTTTAAAAAGGAGTTTGACTTTAAAACCTATTCTTTTTCTCTGGTGTGTGGCGGTCGGAGAAGAAAAGAAAAAGAAAAGAAGAGGCGACTAGGCAGAAGAAGACGGACGCCGATCAGGAGTATAAATAATTTCGATGGTTGCCAGTTTGTTTAATTTCTTTGGGAGATTTTTGTTGTCCATCATATTTATGGGTAACTAATTTCTCAAGTAAGGTTAGGGATGAATTTGCACAGTAGATGGTATTTTAATTATTTTTAATTTATGCAGTTGATTTTTATTTACTAAAACTCTTTTGTTTTATCATTTTTAATTTATTGTTGATATTTTATTCTACAAATAATCATAGAATTTATTCTGTTTATGGATTCAGTCATGCTTTTTCTATTGAATGGATTAATTCTTTGATTATGTTGGGACCAATTATTTATCTATATTGATTTAATTCTTTGCTGCAACATTGTTTTCTTGAGTATATTGTCGTCATTGAATTTTCTCAATAGTAATAATAATTTACGTATTTTAAAAGTGGTAAATGATTTTTCAAAGGATTATATTGGGTTTAATCTTGGTTTATAAATCTATATCTTCCGGTTGGGAATTTTGGGAATTAAATTTTCAATTGAGTTATTCAATGAATTAAGAATAATTAAAATACTAAATTTGTGCAAGGGATTTCCGACGTTTTACTGTTTGTCAAATTTGAATATTTTTTCCGTTAGTCACTTGTTTCACTTTAATTTGCATTTAAAATTAATTTTTATTATCTAGTAGTCATTTAATATTCTTCTTTAATTTCTTTGTTCATTCTATTATTCTTTTAATTTGTCTCTATGTGGAATCGACACCCAAAATTATGCTACAATTATCGCGTTATTCTTTGGGCATAACCAGCATCCATAAGGTGAGGTACATATACAAGTATCATGCTCCAGACTTGCACAATATATGCTATTGAGTGGCTATCTGACTTGCAAAGATAGCTTAGGATTTTACCTTGTCTGCTTGGTAACATGGTTATCTATGAAGTTTTACCATTTGTTTGCACCATGTTGGTGCTCTAGGTTTACCCAGAGGAATTTGCTGCGAATATACCCTAAGGGTACACGAATTGGCTCATCTAACTACAATCCTCTGGTTGGTTGGATGCATGGAGCTCAAATGGTTGCATTGAACATGCAGGTCAGGGTTGCATTGATACATGCCATCTGATATTTGCACGACCCGTTTACTGTTCAAAAGTCCAAATATTGCTGCAACTCTGAGTGAACAACTAAATTGAAGATGTCTAGAGAAACACAGCTCCACTGCATGAGCTTCAAATTACAGTTTCTGATGGGTAGGTCTAGGAAACAGCCATAATATTTGAATTATTTTTAGGGTACTTGGAGATGGAGAGAGAGACTTATATTTGCAATGTAAAGAGGCATAAGCAGAAATTGGGGTCACTTCTGTGCATCCACTGTTTCACAAGACCATTAGAACACACAGGATATTGATGCCATCAGACATGATTTCCCCTGGCAGGACACTAATGAATGTGATTATCCTCTTATCACAAGAGTCATTAGGGAAGCCATTCTCAGAATCAGCATCAACTGTATGTGATTAAAATAAGAAACGCTTTGGGCAAAGAAGTTGAGAGCAGAATATAATGTGTTCAGATATTTAAACTTTCTATTCCGTGGTAACTTTTTAAATGGCACGGGCACAAAAGCGTTTTTGTAGGTTCTAATTGTGCAAATTAGCTGTTGTTCCTGGTTGTATATAAATCAACTCTTGCATTCAGTCAAGTAGAACATTGTTTTCTGACTTATTAGAAATATCCAAGCAAATTATGGATCAGAACATTTGCTTGTACTCTATTTGAGTGCTTTTTTATTATGTTATTTTCTTCCTCATCAGGGACATGGAAAGCATCAGAAGGAATGTTCAGAGCCAATGGTGGCTATGGTTTTGTGAAAAAACCAGATCTTTTCTTAAATACAGATTTTGATCCCAGGGAGGCTTTACCAATTAAGACTACTTTGCAGGTGCGTAAGTCTGACAGAAAATTTAACTATGTGATGCTCACCTTCCATTTTGGTTTGAAATGCATCTATGTTGCCTTTTGTTAAAAACAGGTACAAATATATCTGGGGGAAGGATGGCATTCAGATTTCCACCATACACTTTGATCTATGTTCACCGCCAGACTTCTATACAAGGGTAAGATTAGAAAAGACTATCCAGCAATTAAAGTTTGAACAAAAGCAGAGAATAACATTGAAAACAAAATTGAATTTAAATAAGGTGATTTGGGACTATGATGGGGTGGTGAAGACTCTTTCCAGTCTTTTTCCCGCTACTTGGGCTGTGCTCATGATGTTTTCTCGTAGAAGTTCGGTATGACTGCCCATTGAGCTAGTTCTTGAAGCATTCAACGATCTGTGAATTTTTGCTATTTTCCAGCTTGAGTGACAATGTCTGAATTGCTTCACATCTTCAATAAGGTTTGCAATCCTCCAGTTGGGACCAGATCAGAGGTGGCATATGAGATGGATTTCCGGGAATCCCCTTTGAAGTGAAAAAATTTTAGGGTCTCTCAATGGGTTGAGCTGGGGGGGGGGGGGGGGGGGGGTGGAATATGTGGTCCACATATCAGTTATGCTCCCATTAGAGTCTATAGAAAAATGAATGTTGTTCTGACTACAGCATCAACATTGATTATAATTTCCCTCGAGGAGGAAGAGACCATCTGTATATTATTGTTGGCAGCACTTTTGCAGGGATGAGAAATGAGGTGCCTTTCTGAAATTTTGCTTCATTCGGGAAATGGGAATATATATCCTGAACATATTTTCAGAGACTGAGAATAGACCTCTAGTATTAAGGGTCTAAAGTCAGAAATCTTACGTAGGAAATTGTGGCATTGGGATCTGTAGGATAGTTTGAACCGTATTCTGATGAAATAGCTCATGTAATAGGGCTTCGTTCCATTTTGGAGTTGTTCCAGTCGATATGTTTCTACCCAAATGGGGAAGTGATCACTTAGCTCTTTGTAGTAACTCTGAAATTGGGAAGGAAGGGCACCCATGGTTTGGTCCACATGTTGATATTGTCCATTTCCAATTTTCCTACAGTTACCCTCGAAGATTGTCTTTGCTTTGGATAATGCCTTTCCAAATTACTGAATCAGATTGATGGACCTGAACATTTTCGGGGGGAAGATCTGGAGCACTATTTAATGGCTGCCTATTTGTCACATTTGGAGTCATTCTTTGGATTTGTCAAGCCATTTTGAAAAGGAAGGCTTTGTTAATATCCTGCATACGGCTGGAGCCTAACCCTCCTTTTGATCTTCGTTTCTATATTGAACCCCACCAAAATCTCCTCACTTTAGTATCAATCCTTGAACAGAAGGAAAGGGGACGATAAAAGGCTTGCATTGAATATGCTGGCAGAGCTGATATGAATGATTTGATCAGTGTTGCTCTGCCAACAAAATACATCTTGTAGCGGACTTTGATCCTGATAGGAACACTAGGAGTCCCAAGTTTATGGCATTTAGATAGGCGCTACATATCCCAAACCCAACTTGAGGTTAGGTTTATCTGTGCGGCTGTATTGGGGCTAACAGATATGCCAGATTTTGTGTTATTTTCTGGTTGGTCAGACCAGGTTTCATATTGCTCCTAGAATTGCTTGGTGGCTGCAACTTCTTACAAAGAGTTCCTGGAAAAAATTATCAGGTCATCTGCTTACGTCAAATTAGAGATGGCAATTTTAACTCATTACCCATCAATCTGTCCATAAATTAACAGGTTAATACTTATATTAATATGGGTTCTAAATGAATTGCGTAACATCATTTATTTTAATTAAACGGGTTAATATGAATTACAAATGAGTAATCATTGGGTTGAGTATTTATCTTTTTATTAAATAACACAAATAATAAAATTAAATAAATATACTAATATATCAAAAAATACACACACTATTATACCAAAAAGTACATACATATACACTAATATACCAAAATATACACACACTAATATATAAAAATCACACACTAATACACCACCCATAATCGACGGGTCAACCCATGGATAATTGGTTGACCCTTGACCCGTGGATGGCCTGTGACCCATGGGTTGACCCACAACCCATAGCCCACAATCACCTCAATCCATTATTTGTGTATTTTTTTTATTAAATATATTTTAGTTTTTGTGTTAGTATATGTGTGTATTTTTTATATATTATTGTATATTTTAGTGTGTATATTTTTAATCTATTAGTTTGTGTATGTTTTGGTGTATTAGTGTGAGTGTATGTTTGTATTTTAGTGTACTACTAATGTGTGTGTGTGTTTTGATGTATTAATGTGCTCATTAAGAATTTTAATTATTTTATGAGTTAATCGATTTAACTCAACCTGTTATAAACTCAACCCATAATAATCTATTTAGTACATGAGTGAAAAATAAATTAAATTTATTTTAACTCAATCCAATTTAACCCAACCCATAACAAACCCAAACCACCCATTTGCCACCTCTTCGTCAAATGGTTAATGGATGGTCAGTGCCTTTCAATTTTGATGCCACTTAAATAGGGTTTTGTAGGGTCAAGGTTGAGACACTTGACGATGCTCCACCTACAGCTTATTGTTTTTGTTTTTTGAATTAGTACGCACTAGAAATAAGTTTACAAAGTATTAATTACCATGAATATCTTTTTTTTTTTTTCTCTCTCTCTCTCACACACACACACATGATTTTAGCATCTCGATGCTACTCAAAACTTCTTACGAAATCAATATCATTTAGGAGCATAAAATTGGCAGAAAGGAATGTGTTCACTGACTGATCTATGCAGGTTGGAATTGCAGGAGTTCCTGCTGATACGAGAATGATGGAAACTACGGCAATTGAGGATCAATGGATACCAGTGTGGGATGAGGTGTTTATATTCCCACTCACTGTTCCTGAACAGGCTTTACTTCGGATTGAGGTTATGGAGTACGACACATCCAAAAAACATGATTTTGGCGGCCAAACATGTCTACCACTGTCCGAGTTGAGGACTGGGATCCGATGTGTTCCACTGCATGATCAGAAGGGAGAAAGGTTCAAATCTGTAAGGCTTCTTATGGGTTTCAGATTTATATGATATTACTATGCACTACGGACCGTCAATGCTGCTATTGAGTTGTATATAGCATGACTGACAAATGTCACATATTATGGGTGTACATTATAGACATTCAGCCAGAATATTAGAAACACCTCTTATAGCCATTGGCTTGGACTAATGAATTTCACAGCTTCGTAGTTGTTTACAAAAGAGGAAGAAGCAGAAGGAATTCTTAGAAAGCTTGTGTACATGCACCACCAAACTAATTTGAATATAGCTTTTGTCATTCTCAAAATTAACATAATTAGTATTGTTGCACATAGCCAGAGACATGAATAATAAAGCCAAACCGAAGGATGGGGGAGCATTAATTCCTTCTTAACAAATTCAAGTGGTGTCAAAATTTCAAGTTGCTCAACTGGACCCAGAGACAAAACTCATCAAGTAAATGGAAACGAGATCAATTTCCGGGGCACGGAAGGAGGAGGAAAGTGCATATATATATTTGTTATTTTCAATAAGTTAAAGCAATGAAGAGCAGTCAGCTAGCCAACTCGCTGATTCATGGTGTTTGACATACCAACTGGTGAGGTCACCTTAAACTGAACATGGCCAGCTAAAAGAACAGGATAATAGTGCATACCAGGATCACATGACTAGTGAAACACGTGCAGTGTAATTTGTTACCACACAAGAAAATTATCATGTGTGATAATAAGCACCTTGATTTTGTTTAGAGCAAATGCACAATGGTCAAAAGTGACCATAAGCCAACTAATACAGTCACATAACATAAACGTGCTGATGAAGACCAAAAACCTGGGATTAGAAATTAGAATTATTAGTATACCAAATTCACACCCTAAAATCAGCTTTTCTCAGTACTTCCTCTGTTGTTACTTCAAACTCAGGCCTCATGAATGGTTTACATACACCTGGATTTGTGAATTCAAGATCCTGCAGAGTTGTACAGGGGCATAAATGATAAGAACATGATAGAATCGCATAAAGAAATTGATAGTGAGAAATGAATAAAATCATAGCTAAAAGTAGAGGCCAAGAAGGCATACATAAAATAAGGGAGAACATGCATTTCATTTTGCATGCAGAAAACTCAAGAAATGACATAGCACAGCCTGGAAAACAGATGTATTAAATAGCATAACATTTCCTTTCGTAAGAAATTGAATTTGTAGCAGTTTGTCACGCCGATCCTATATACGCACAGACATATTGCAGAAGTTTATGTACTCCTACAGGTGGTATCACTTGAACCACACTGTATTATACATGTAGCTTGAAACAAAAAGTAGCCTCAACTTAGGACGTAACAATTCGCTCACCTACGATTGTTCATATGGATTGATAACTCAGTCTAAAATTGAGTCAGTTTCAACCAGGTGAGTTGAACAAAGAAAAGAAAAACTGACAACTTAGCCCAACAGCAGCAGTGGATTGTATTCCCCCAGGCCTTGTTTTGGCACTACACACAATTTTATGGTGGAAATTTCATGCTTCAGCATACTTCTTCCAAGGAAGTGCTTATTTGATGCATCAAAAATGAAAAAAAAAAGAAAAAGTTAAAAGTTCAGTATGAAGCTAAAGCTTGTTTCACAGGAAATATTTTCTTAATTTGACCATGTCCTGTGCTAATCCTAAGGAGCATTGGATTAAAAACATAATCAGGTAGAAGTTGTTTTCCACTATTTCATCCACTAAGAGTGGTAGCAGACACAGGGCTATAAACTTAATAGAAATTCAATGTAGGGCAACACTTTCCTTTTTTCTCCCAAAAATGATACTAGTCACAACAAAGGTAACTTTCACCTACAAAAAACCAAGTTCACAATTATGGGTTTCTTCAAGAGGTCATATCAGGAGCCCACAAGGGCACAACGGCTTAGAGTTAACATGCACAATGCAACATCCAACAAGTCAACATGCAATTTGCTGACCTGAACATGTCAAGTAGCATTGCGGATGTAAGTTCATAGTAATACCAGTCAAATGAATGCATGAGCTATCAGAAGTATTGTTGGGAACATACAGTGCGGTGAAAAATCAAGAATCAAGAACACGAGATTTAAAAGGTAGAATCCAAAAGGTTATAACATATTTATATGCACCAGTTAATACCTTTAACCTTGGTCCAACTAAAAAACCTAGTCATACTAAATCTTACGTTGTGCGACACTCTTTACTACTTTCCCCTTCCCTCTGTCCACTGGCCCGCTGACTTATGGGCCTAATGAATATGAGTCACCTCCTATTCACAACAAGCATCTGAATCAATACCATGATATTGGGATTTAGATAACAATAGGGGTAGAGGCCATAAACAGGAACATGCATACAATTTCAAGCCGAAGAAAGGCCTCTAAAATAGAGGGCACGTTGTTGATTCTTCTCATACCCAGAATGTATCATCTCACCAAAGTATAAAAATGAAATAACAGGAAATGTCAATGAAATTATAAGAGGCTCTCTTTGCAAACTAAGCAACGAAGAGGAATAAAGGTAAAACTACAAATACCGTAACTATCGTAAAAACAAGTGAAAATTGTAGAATGACGAAAGTACCTGAACATGGACTCGGAAGAAAAGGTCCCGATCATCTGAGGCCACTGAAGTCGGCGCGACAGACAAACATCGGCGGATCATAAAATGCCCCTAATAAGGTTCTTTTCTCCTAAAATCAAAAACCTGGATCAAATATGCAATCTGCTTCCTCAAATCACAAACAACCACATACAGAAAAGTTGGGGTATTAAGAAAAAAATGCTATTATTGCATGATCATAGGAAATTATGCACATAAATCTCTTTTTAATGCAAATTCAACTAGAGAGAGAGAGAGGAGAAGGAGGAGGATCTCCTGACAGAGTCGGTCGGAATTTTGAATGGCTAAAGCCTAAGAGGCTAAGACCAATTGTTAAGATTACTGAGCCAGAGCCTTTTCAAACCTTGGGCTTATTGGGTAGCCCATACACATTAGCATATCTTTTGGGCCCACACAAATAGGCTTTGTTCAATATTAGGTAGTAAGGGCTAAGCTTATCGTGTATGGGTTACAAATCACACGCGACAAGTATACTAAATGGATTACACGTTACGACTCATATAATCTATTTAATAAATGAATCGTGTTGAGTAGAATTGAGATAATACAACAACAGGTCCATTCACATTTACCACCCACACTTGGTTTCATTCAAATCACCTATACTCGTTAAATTTACAAACTCTCACACTGTCAGTTAAAGTTTCATTCAATCACCTATACTCGTTGAGTTGTTATTAAAACAAATCAAATCAAATGTCAAGGCTACGAACACCTAAAACAAACATTCATAATTTTAATAGATGTTTTCATAATTTTTGTAAGTTATTTTATAACAAAAAAATTTTTTTGGGTGATTTACAAGTTTTATAAATATTTTTACCAAAAATTATAAATAATAATACAATTTTAATTTTTTTTCCCGGCAAAATCTCCAGAAGTGAGATAGTAAATGAGAATACAATGAGTGAAGGTACTTAGCAGTTTTCAACAGTAGGGCTGAGTGGAAAGTGAATTTGTTCCCAAATAACCTTACATAGTGGCAAATCAATCAGACAGATTCTGCAATCTTTTACCAATGGTTGTCAGTCTCCCGCGGCCCGACCCATTATTTCTCTCCACAATCTCTGTTCCCATCATCTTGTTTATTTAGCTAGGATTATATTTAGAAGTTCTAAAATTTAATATTTAATCACTTGAATTTTTTGATATTAAAAATATTATACAAAATTCTCTTGAGATTTATACACGCATAATACTGAGACTCTTACTGTATATCCATTAATAAATTACGTAGACCTACTAAAATGAGTAATGCTAGAAATACTTGATAATCTCAACCATTGAATAGGTAGTGGGTTCTAATAAATGCTGGGACCCACAGTGAATCAATGGTTCTAATTATCAAATCTAGTATTTAAGTCTATTTTTTAAGTTCATGTAACATTACTCTCCTGAAATTTATAAGTATAAAATATTTAGATCCTAAAGTTTAAAATGATATACTCAAACTAATATACACCAATCAAATATTTATGTTCTATTATATCATTTATTAAAATAAAATATATAATTTTAAACATAATTAATATATAATTTTATTATCTATTGAAATAAAACTAAAAAATCAAATAAGGGGTCTAAATCATTCATAATGGAACATGAATTTTACAACAAAAATTCTTGCTCTGTTATGTTATTTATTGAAATAAATTAAAAATAAAAATCTAATTTTTTCTTAAAAAATCATAATTAGAATACAATTATATCATCCATTAGAATAAAATTAAAAAATCAAATAAGGGGTCAAACTATAATTGACACAATATTTTTTAACTTTAATTGAGATAATTTGGTAATTTATTTTGGTTGTTTAAATGACCAAATTAAATTCTAATAGATAATATAATTATATTCTAATTATGATTTAGAAAAAATTAAATTTTTATTTTTGATTTTATTTCAATAAATATCATAATAGAACATGAATTTTAGTTATAAAATTTAAAATATTTTATATTTTATATTTGATTGGAGTATTTTTAGTCAAAGAAAAATATTTTAAACTTGAGAGGTTTAAGTATTATACACCTACAAACTTCAAGGGATCTAAGTATAATTTATTAACAAATATACTAACGGGCATTGACAATAAGAGTCTAAGTGTTATGTGCGTACAAACTTCAAAGGGTCTGTATGTAATATTTCAAACGTCAAAGAATATAAATAATTAAATAACAAATCTCAGAGAATATGAGTATAATTCTCCCTATCTCCTCATGCATCTCAGCTTTTCAACTTATTTCAAATTTATGATTCAGTATAGCAGGATTTACCATAACGTGCGCCTCTTATTAGTTAGAGAGATTCAAATTTGAATCATTACCATACAATGTTCATTACGCCCTTAATTTAGAATGAACTTCAAACCAAACTTTGAGAGTGTTTGAACTTTAAAAAAAAAAAAGAAAATAGAA